GATTTAATGTTCGGCCGGGTTTTGCTGTGTTTCTCTGAGTTCCTAGGTTAAAAAAAAACCGGACACTGGAGTAAATCAAATAGTTTGTAACAACAAATGCTATTACAGCACAACATAAAATTTGACTGGATTTTACTTTCACTTTCTACAGTATTTACTCAGCCTTATGTGCATGGAATACCTTATAAGCTTTAGTGACGACCCGACTTTTTCTCCGCGGTGCAGCTTCCTCCTGGTCACTGTCCGGCTCGTCACCCTCATCGATGTCAAAGTCGCTGTCCACCTCGTCCTCTGTATCTGAATGTTCTCCGTGATATTCATCATCCCCGGATTCCTGAAAGCAAAAAAATAGCATCATGTGGCAAACTGCAGATGCTTGATTTAAGTTGGTAAAACAAAGAATTCCTTCTGGATTTTCTAAAAGTGAAGCTCAGAGGTTTTGTGGGGGGAAAAAATTAAAGTAAAGTGATGACATTTGGAATAAGTTCAGATAAGTGTCATGAAATAGAATGTGCTGTTCGAGGTGTACCAAAGTTAAAACTTCAAATTTATAACTGATTGACAATTGGTTGTTGATTTTGAGCAGCCTTCTCTTTATCCTCATTGCCTTTGTCAACACCTTCTTCACAAATTAAATCAGAAACCTTCAAAACAACCCACATACTGAGAACATCCAGCTTTGATGCAGATCTGGAACGTACAATAGAGCTGGGCTGCCTCTGACTGGATAATTATAGCTACATAACGTGTTTCTCACATTTTCAGGGATTTTCTTGCAAGTGYAAAGAAAATCAGCATCTCTAAAACATCCATTTTACAGAGAGAACATCATGGTATCCTGCAGAAAATCTAACAAAGTAAAGCTTTTTTTCCCATTCCCACAGTGTTAAAATAAGGTGCAGGTTACATTAGCTGTRAGTCTGACCATGCAAAAACACACAGGAACTGTCACAGTTATATCCCTGCTAATGACGACTGAGAAGTCCTGTTTCTTTTTTTCCCCTCCCTCCTGTCAAGTCATTCTTGACAGAACTGTGAGAGCCGGTGCTGCCAAACCCCCACACAAGTTGATCTATGAACCAGCAGCTGTCTAAAGAAGATGAGCCAAATCACAGAAAGATATTAACATTTTACAATCAGGTGTAATGTTCTGACAAACAGTATAATTAGCTTCCAGCTTTTATTTTGGGTGTGAAGCAGGAAGAARTGCCGCTTTCATTCAGCTCTTTTTTTTTTTAAATCTGACGAGCAATATTCTCAGAACAAACATAGAACTTGTTTCATTTTAGTCGAWAAACACAGTAGACGAGCCGCTGGAGTGAGATCCTGAAAAATGTTGAAAAACRTCTGTGTGTTGCGGTCGATGACAGCCAGTGTGCTCTTCATGTAAGAAGAACACAAATATCAAATGTGAACATTTTTGCTACCTGAAAACTAAAGACCAAAAAAATAAAAATCAGGGTAAAGAGTTGTTTTGCTCTTGAAAACCACAAGCAGCACATTTTAAAAAATAAATTACTAATGTAAAAAATCAATTTACGAAAATGAAAATTTCACAAATTAATTGATACCAGGATTTCCAACAGKAAAGTTGCCATCTAATTTTAGGAAAAGCTTGAATTAATAAAATCATTACAAATCTTAAACAGTGGGAATTATTAAGTTTGCCTAGCTAACTTTGATAATTATTCTAAAACAGTTAACATAGTTTGAACGAAGCTATCTGTACATACTTTAAACTATTTATTTACTTAATAAATTAAAATTCTTGTGTTTTTTAAATTATATCATTAGAAATCATCTACTGTTTTCCKCTGTGTATAAATATCCTCCACAAATGACATTTAACAGAGGTTTAAGCTTTTATCGTTTTAAAACACAATTAATAAAAATTGTAAGTAAAGCAAATAGCCAAAAATGTATAAACACAAGTCAGATCATAAGAACATAAAGACAGGTCAGGTGACAGATGAATATTTATGCTCGGAGTCTGACTGAATCCTAAATAACTAACAAAAGTAAAATATTGTTTGGTGTAAATTTACACATTCACATTATGATATATTAATCACTTGTGATCCRCACATATTATTTATTAAATTACTTTTAATAAACATATCTTGAATAAAAGCTAATTTGCTTAGCCTCGTGCTAGCTGTGTAACGTTAGCTTACCGGGTCTTCGTGTTTTTCAGTTTTAGCTACTTACATCGTGGAAGCCTCCATATGTGGTCTTGTAGAACTCATCCTCTTCTTCAGCATCCAGTAGTTTAGACATGCGGTTCCCCGCAGTCTTTCTGGGTTCGCGTCCGACAGCCAAAGTCATTGTTGTACAATTTCTTAGCAATGCTAAMCGAACTTAGCTCGTTTTGCGATGTAGTTTTGAACGGGTTGTCCGGCGTTACTTTATGCGTTGAATAAACTGTCTGGTAGYAGCCATATTTAATTTATGTTATAAATATAATACAAKCTCTCAGYACYAAAACGTATTTGTTTAGTAGTTATGTTAGTAATACAATACGCTGTTTGCTAATACAACCACTGTTTTGAAAACGAAGTATCACATCCGGGACAAAGGTTGCACTTCCGGGCTGCATTTCAAAGTAAAAGTCGGGTTTGGGTTTGAGGAGGGGTGTTAGGATTTTTACTGGACAGGCTTACTATTGCTTACTATTCAAACAAAGAAAAGCCTTGATGTTCTAATCACTAAAAAAAACAAATTAAATACTGCAGGGAAAGGCATTTGATTTGCAAAGAAAATATTTATATACATGAAATATTTTGTATCTTGTATGTTATGACATTATTCTTAGTCCTGAACAATTAAATTTTTAATTTAAAAAAAATTAAATAAGATTGTGCTTTTTAGGGTCCATTTTACAAACGTTTGGCTGTAAAACCTGAACACCAGATTAAGAATTTGTTTGTTGCTGTTTTACTTGTCACTTTAATTGTCAATAATGCAAGACAAAAAAGTGATTCAAACAAAATGGTCAACTCAGAAGGTTCACTTGTTTGTGGATTTTCTTTTACCTACAAAAGGACTCCAGGTAGAAAGTTTTTTAATCATAATATTATTTTTTTTTATATCTTTTGTTTGATTTATGCCCTGTGATGGACTTGCGACCTGTCCAGGGTGTACCTCCGCCCCTTGTCCTGTGACTGCTGGATATGGACACCAGTGACCCACGCAACCCTGAAAAGGAAGAAGCGTGTACAGAAAATGGATGGATGGATGGAAGGATGTTTGATTTATTTAATTTTTAAGTTTTTTTAAGAAAGTTTCCCTTCAGTCATAGACATCATACTGACTGAAGAAGTCTCTTGGAGRAGAGACGAAACATTTCATTAGAGAAGAACCCGTCCAGAAGACCTATACAATTTTTTTCTTTTTGATTTTCACCTGGATTACTGASATGCATCAGGACATCATACTGACTTCTTATTTGACAAYATTTCCTAAATGTAGAAATTGTGAAAAATCTTGCACTAAGTTGCCCTCTATTAAAAACAARACTTGTCAGTGCCTGATTGAATCTTTAACATGCCCTTTTAGCAAGCATGCAAAAGAAAAAAATAGTTGTCTCTAGTTTACTGTAAATGTTGGATCCCTCATGTAAAAAAAAAAAACTCTACCCTTCACCTGTAGAGCCTCCTCTTTTATTGTGTTTGAGGTCCGTGTTTAACGTTGTTATGGAAACCAGTTAGGCCTTTTCAACTGGTGCTCCACGCTTGCCAGAGCAAATGCATCGTCATGGCAACAACATCATTTACGTTTTAGCGCCGGTGTCAGCATCAGTAAAGCTCGAGCACACTGTATATGTGGCGTTTACTTACCGTTTCTGTGTGCAGCTTGAGCTCCACTCACTGGCGAAGGTCTCGGCTCATTCTCAGCAAATGTGTTTCTAAACTTAAATTTACTCAGAGAGTTTTTGTTGACGTGAACATTTTAAACCTAATTCTGTCTCTTTTCCATTTGTGGCTCCCAGGTGGTGTGGTCCTAATTACCAGCTTTACGAGAATCCCACTGAAACTCTTTGTCATGAAATATAATTTTAAAATAAAAAAGCACCCGGTGACATTTTTTTAACGCTCTTTTTTTATTTAACCCACTTTTAAGAAAAAACTTTATGTTTTAGAAACATTACAAAATATTACTTTTATGTGTTAGCAAACAGCACTATTAACATATCCCTGAAAAATAACAATGACTGATAAATAATAGCTGTTATGTAATCTACAAAAGGCTAAATATAGTTATCATTCCTTTTGCTGAACTTCACTGAGGTCTATAACAGCGCAGTAATTACATTTTCTGTTATGTCATTTGTACTTTGGAGACCACTTATGAAGCAAACCATGAAAATAGTCAAGCAGGCATGTCTAATCAGCTTATACACACAAACATGAGGAATATAAGCAGTTTTGATTTATTAAGCATTTCACTTATTACATAAATCACGTGCAGTTAGGTTATTGTGCATTCCATTTGTTAAAGTGTCGATCGTGTCTTTAAAAAGTGTCTAAGATGAAAACAAACTCTTTCAAAACATTCTTTTGAATGTCCTTTTAAGTCCTTACAATTACTGGAACATGCTCATTTTTATGTAAATGACCGAAAGTCACACTCTGCGAGTCGGATTCATAAAGTTCAGTTCATTCGCTCCTAAACCACAGGATCTAAAATTATGCTTTTGCAAGTTGAGTCATATAAGCTTCATGGTGAACCTGCCGGTCTCCTTATAGTTTCCTGTCCTTGCATTATTGTTTGACACGGCGCTTCGTGGCACGTACGCGATCGTGGCCGTGTGCTTGATTTGCCCTTTGCCTTTGCTCCAGAAGAACATGAAAACGAAGCAAACCGTCACCGAGCTGAAGAAGGAGAAAAACCCAATCGTCGCTGCGATGAGCAACGTCTTCACGTCGAACGTGAGTTTCTGAGTCTCCCCTGGAGAAGCAGACGGAGAAGCAGGCCGTCCTTTAGGACTAAAAAGGTTTTTGGAAGTTGATGGGAGGGCTTGGACGYGAAGGCTGACAGACAGGCTATCATTTCCTGCTGCGTTTGACGCCACACAAATATAAGTACCACTATCGAGAGGCTGAGCATAGCGGACCTCCAGAGAACCGTTGGACAGAGCTCGTATTCTACCTGTGGCTGAAATATGCCTTAGCTGAGGATTAAGCCAGCTGACAGATGGCTGAGGGTCACCTTCTGCGCTGCAGTAAAACACCATCGTGTGCCCTTGATCCRTTTTCACTTGTTGGGATTTGCGGTTCAGAATTCGAGGCCGCCGACAGGTGAGGAGGTTCGAGAGCTCGTCCTCGGAGAAGTCTAAAAAATTCCAGCCCTGCAGCTGAACGGAGGTAGCGCAAGTCGGTTGACGGCCATCAAAGTCCATAAACAGCCGCTTTTGTACCACCCAAAGCAAACGGCAGTCACACGCTAACGGGTTGCCGTCGAGCCCCAAGGTTGTCAGCGTGTCGACTGAATGAAAAGCTCCTACCTCAAGTGTAGGGAGAAGGTTTTTGGACACGTTTAACACTTTTAAATACGCCAAACCCTTGAACGCGCCACTCTCGACGCGTATTAACGATCCCCCGATGAGCCGAAACTCTTGAAGTCGGAGCAAATCTCCGAGCAGGTTCCCTTGAATGCAGGTGATTGGGTTAAAAGAAAGRTCGAGGTACACGAGGTACACCAGGGGTTGTAAAGGAACGTAAGGTACGTCACTGAGGTTGCAGTGTTCGATGGTTAACGATGTAAGATTGAGGCCAAAGAGACTGTTCCCTGCTAGAGACTCCAGCCTGGAGAAGTGYGAAATGACAAGTTCCTTTAGGTGCACCAGGGGATGGAAGGAGTAGTTTGGCAGTGTGGCGAGGCCCAGCTGGTGAAGATGAAGGCTTCTCAGCTCGCTCAGCTGAGCGAGTGACTCCGTTGGCACAGCAGTGAGGTTACGGCCGTCAAGGTCCAGCTTTTTCAAACCGGTCAGCCCGGAGAAAGCTTGCCGAGAAATAAAAACCAAGTCGTTGCCATCTGCTGCGAAAAACTCCAGCGACGCCAAGTCCCTGAAAGTGAAATCGAGCAGCACAAGAATCTKATTGCTGCTTATGTCCAACAACTGCAAGGCGCTCAGGTCAGCAAACACTCCCACTGAGATGACCTTGAGGCGATTGCGAGGCAGRCGCAGCGTCAGCAGGTTTCGCAGGCCGAGGAAGGCCTCCACTTCGACCAACGTCAAGAGATTGTCACTCAAATCGAGGTGCAGCAGCCGCGTTAGATTGCGGAACTGCTGATTCACAAGMGTCTTGATCGTGTTGTGAGTTAGGTTCAGCAGCTTCGAGTCAAAGGGGAGCCCGGCGGGTACGGCGGCGAGCCGAACACCAGAGCAGTTCACCTCCAGGSTGGGGGCGTCGCAGCGGCACGTTGGTGGGCACAGCCTGAGGGTTTCAGGCGTTAACGTCATGCCTGCAGCCAGCAGGCAGAAAGCTATCCAGCTCTTCCATAGGTGGGCTGCAGTCCCCTCAACCATCTGKTGGCCTGTGTGAAGGAAGAACAGCTGTGGAGAAAAACACAGCGTGAGAGGCATGAAACATTTATCACACGCCAGCATGAAAATGTGTCTTCCTTCAGCTTCTTCCTCTTCAAATCAAATGTAAATCTTCTTATTATTTCTTTAAAAAATGAGGCACGTTTTAAAGGCATTTTGTTTTTTTAGTTTGTGTTTTTCTGTAACAAGCTTAAACCTAAGGGAAGTGATTGTCTTAGCTGAACTAAAGAGGAAAAACTTTTTTATAACCAGACAACTGTAGACAATAAAAGAGTGAGAAACAGTTTTAAAAAATCAGTTCTATTATTCTACTATGGGYTTTAGTTTTATATGTCACTCTGAGTGTGCTCAGATGATATGATTTTGTATAAATATGTGTTATGTTAGTATGATATACTGTATGTGTCTTCTAGTATATTTGAGATATTAWCTCCAGCAACACAGTAGCCCAACTGCTGAAAAGACATGACAAAAAGCCATTATTTCAAAATACTTTTTTTTCTTTTAGATATGACCTTGACAGCCCAGATTGCATCTCTTCAATGTCCCAGTTCTCTGGATGATTGTGTTTTACTTTGACAGCTTGTGTAGGGCTGAATATAAAAACGCTAAAAAACAAGAGCAGGTTGCAAACTCAGTGTGCTGTTATTTGATCTTTTTTTTATTATTTTTTGTGTCAGTAGATGGAGAGAGCGTTAACTGGCACCACAGGAGGCTTCGTATGAAGGGCTTACTTTACTGTAAACATCTCACTGTGGACAAAAATAAAAATAAAAGTCATGTGAAAGAGAAAATCCCTTCGCAGATGCAGTWTTAGCTTAGGGTCTAGTTGCATGGGGTAATAAGCAAGGGGCGCCATAAGGGAATGTGGTGAGGGGACTGAACAGAGTTTGCTTAAATTTGTTGCCCAYCCCGTCAAACTATGATGAAATACAGAGATTTTTTTATTATTATTACAAGGATAAAGCCATTATAAATTTATGCACTCATATTATAATTAGATGATGTGCATTTTCCAATAATGCCATACTGCTTCAGTTTATCATTCTGCAAGTGYGTTGGGACCCTGCTATCATACTGATTGCAGGCGCTCCACTCMCTCTGGATCCAGAATCTTGATGACCACCCTCATTGTTTCCTTAAAAACAGCAAAACCTTTTCGACCACCAGACAGCTCCTCTTCCACAAACGCATTCTTTTCACGTCCGTGTGGTTCTTTTTTCCAAATAGACACAGTCGTTTGCACAGTTGTTTCAAAGTCCTGCAACTGATAATAATTTGATGAAGATGTATTAAAAGATGAATTTTCTTATCTGTCAAATCAATGCCAAAGTAGAAATTCACAAGATGCTCMACATTCCTTATTTTAATGCTGTGGTAAGACTGCTTTTATCATGTAGYTCTCGTAACATTATGACTCAAATGATTTTCAAATTATTATGAGTCTTCTGCTAACATCACGACTTTATTCTCACATTATTTCAAATTTATTCTGGTAAYATGATTTTATTATCGTATTACAACTAAAATCGTGTAATATATATTTATTCTTGTATTATTGCGACTTACATCTTGTAATATTATTATTATATTCTCGTATTATTTCTATTTTAATCTGAAATTATGATTTTATTCTCGTTTTGTTTCGACTTTATTCTAGTAATATTGTGATTTTATTCTCATCTCATAATATTTTGACCATTCATAATATTTTGACTTTATTCTTGTATTATTACAATTTTATTCTTGTAAAAATACTTTATACTCGTGTTATTTCAACTTTYTATTTGTAATACTATGATTTTAATCCTGTAATATTATGACTTTATTCTTTTAATGTAAAAAAATGATCTCAGTCTGGTCCTAATACTCTGTGACTTCATCCAGTGGTTCTCCTACAAAGTAATCATTGGACTTGCATCTATATCTGATTAACTTTAAAAATCAATTTACTCTTTTTAAAGTACTTGACTAATGAAATGAAAATAGCTGACAAAGCAGCAAAACAATTACTAAATAAAAACAAGGTTGTGGCCTGAGAAGAGATACGGAGGGGACACACCAGGGCCCACATGCATGAGCAGGACTTTTACAAGCTCTAAAAGGACATTTATTATTTTCATGCTCTTGCGAAATCCACCATAAGGGGGCAGAAAAAGCCAAACTATATTTGCACATTAAGTTTCCATTTGCAGCCATGAWGATCTGTTTAAAAATGCCCACTTACTGTGGTGTGATTCCTGCATGCGCACGAACAGAAACACTTCTTTTTTTTYAATAGATACATAAAATCACGAGTCCCGGACAGCAAACAAGCTGTAGGTCTGCGAGGGTTCTGCTCATCATGGAATGTGTGACTTGTTGAAAAGCACTGCAATGCGAATGCCAAGAGAAAAATGACACATTTGAGTGTGATGCCCCCCCAAACCCCTCCAACAGATCTGGCAGCTCTGCACACATTTCACAGAGCTAAAGGTTGGAACAGASTCTGCAGCTTGTTAGAAAGACAACCAAAAGAATGATTCATTTGTTATAAAATAACAGTGACAAATGAAAATTTAGTCAAACAGACTTATCATTGTGTTGCTGTATGATACAGACATATAGGAAGTCTGATAGTCTTTAATGTTAAAAGTGCTGCCAGTTCTGAGTGGAACAGGTTGAACTTCCCTGTCTCTCTGAGATATCAAATGTTTCAGATGATCAAATGAACCTGAGGCTGTTATTTGTAATGAAGTGCAGAGTAACTGCTGGGTATGACAGCACAGGATAATGGAGGAGAACTCTTGAAGCAGAGCACATATGCATGATTGAAAATATTGCTCAGAGGTAAAAAAGCAGGTTTTTGCAGCGTAACAGTAAGTCACGAATGACACAAAAGGCTCATAATTACAGTCATTTTGCAAGAAAGCAAAGCAAACACGAGTAAACTCACCTTCTCTTCAGAACGAAGAAGGGTTTGTCATTTTAATCACTCTCTTTTCAAATGCAAATGTCCTCTGCCGTGTCTGTTTTCCTCCTCCTTTGCAGAAATTATGTTGGACAAAGATAACTCAAAGGCAGTTTGGGGAGAAGAAAGCAAGCGACACAAAAAGCTTCAGCCCTTCCATTCTGGGAAAAGGAACTCTGGAGGAAGCATGATGCTGCAGCTCAGTTTCCCCCCGTGGCTCGGCTGTCCTCATGGCAACAACAACAACCTGGCCGAGGATGCTCTCGGTGCATGCTGGGGGATTATATGCACAAGCTGCTGGAGCCCCTCCAACACGCCGAACTGGAGGGCAGGATGCAGGTCAGCCAAATGCAGAGATTTACCTGACGGGGAGGAAGCTGAGCTGAGGAATCTGAAATATATATATATATATATATATATATATATATATATATATAAGCTGTGGGTTATTAGGACCATTTTATCTTAAACAAAATAAAGTTTAAAAAAAGACAGATTAAGGAAGATTAAGTAGTTTAAAAATATGCAAAAATCCAAATAATCCAAAAGTCTTACAAACTACTGATTTTGACAGCTCTGGTTTACTCTGTACGCCTATGTTGCCCTCAAGTGGTTCTGTTTTGGATGTATTAATTTATTCTCATAAAATTGATCTTAGGACCAAACTTCAACCCTTATTTGATCATAAAATAAAAGTTGTTTGCTTTATTTTTGGCTCCTCAACCCTTGATTTCTAATTATTCTATCATTTTTTGCTGCAATGATTCCAGCCCAAACCCTAACCAAGTTATAACCAGACAAGTAAAATTTGGTCAAATAGTTTTAAATCAGTCAAAGTATGAAGATCTGACGGTCACGATTTGTATGAAGTGCAACACAAAAGCAGTATACTGCCAGATTAACAAAACCTGAGGGATTAAAGTTAACAGAAATCACTGTTAGTTTATTTGGGATGAAAAAGAAAGTTACTGTCGTTCACTTGGCAAAGTGTTTTTATTGCAAGAGCTCAGAAAAGCTCATGAGGTTCATTCAGGTGTCTTTCTGTTGCACTGACGCACAGATCACACAAAATAATCTTGTGCTGAGTCAGAAACTCACCATCTGGTCCTGCCTCCCCCCCAGGGAACCTGCATCCATCAGCAAGTTTCTTTTCCAAAATCCCGGATTCGGGGAAAGGGGGGAAGGATCAGAGGTGAACACGAGCAGCATATGCCAAATCAAAGTTTATCACTGTGTTGTGTTCTCATAAAAAGTGTTCCATCACTGCTGYTTCCTGTTGGTGGTAACTGCTGTGTCACGCCTGGGCTTTTCGTGGGTTTGTGACGTGGAGTACAGTACAGTGGAGCAGGAAGCAGAGGGCAGGAAGGTACAACAAACCGAACTGGAACTATTGCTTATTACTAGGAAATTTTAACCTTTAATCTCCCCGAATTTCCTCTTTTTAAAGATGCTTCGTCATTGTCTGGTGGTGGATATTTTACAATGATTGTGTGAAACGTATCTGAATTATTCTCCTTGGACGCTTCATAGAGTTTAAATTCCAGAAACATTGTCACAAATAAAATATTAAATGATTGTTTTGTGGCTGTCACTTTGTTGGCAAGCCTGACCATTTTCTCTTCGTTCTTGGTTCTTCAGTGGTTGATGAGGCTCAGTCTGAGCAGACTTCTCTGGTTGTTGGATGACTTGGTCCACCAGAATTGGCTCCATGTTGTTTCCATTTCCTCCATCTCAAAGTGGTCGATTCACAGATTGAATGGATGTCCTCCAGTTTGTCCTGATTGCTCCGGTCGACTTGAGGTTCTGCTTCAAAGTGTTGTTGAAGCATTCCTTTTGCTCTCCTGTCACTTGTTTTATTTGGGAATCTGTTTGGGAAAGATTTAAAAGCATGATATGTCTACTTTAAGACATATTTCTTCTCAGTTTCACTTATTTTGTCAAAACGACAGAAAACCATTAAAATTTAAAAAGAAGTTGATGCATTTCTGTGCTAATTTTTCAAATTCTAAGGGTAGATTTCTTTATCCTTGAGAATTTCCACCACAAACGGTTTAATGCTTATGTAGTTTCCTGCTTTAACTCGCTTCACTTGTGCTGATTGTACTGGTAGTGTATTTTGGTCTACTGCAGCTGGTAGTACCGTGAATAAGACTCACATGACGAGCCACCGCACAGGAGGAACAAGTTTCTAATCAGTTGACAGAAGGAAACTCTACTTCCTCTTTAGAGTCTGATCATGCTCCGCCCTGTTCTGGTAAAAACACTTCTTCTTCCTGGGTTGTTTCAAACCAGCTGGTCGTTGTGTCGAGGTGAGTCCAGATCTGGGGTTTGGACTTTGTAATACAGTAATACTGGTAGAAACACAACAAACAGCAAATCAAGAAATTATTTTTTTAGACAGGTATTCTCAAGTTACATAATATAACACAATAATCATACAAGAATATCTTGACATTCAAAGGAAGCAAAGTTTAAACAAAACTTAAGAACAAGATTAGATTTTAAATTATGATTTTTTTTTCGCCTATTACCTTTAAAATGTGTTTAAAATGTCCCAGATGGATCAAACTAGACAATTTCAGTTCTTGCTGCAGCTCCAGGAAGATGGAGCAGAACGGAAAAATGACTTTTTTTTCTAATTTTTGTGTAAAAATTCAATTTTTCTTTACAGGATGCATGTTTTCTGTATTGCGGTGCTTTCTGCTCTTCTGCTTCTCGCCTGTTCCTCACCTGCTACAATCAAACTGTGGGAAGAATGGAAACACCAACATAACAAAGGTTACAACAGTCAGGTACGACTTTAGAAGAAACATTTCAACCTGGTGGTGTTCATGTGCGTGCTCTCACGTTTTGTTGGTTTCAGACTGAGCTGGTCTTCAGGAGAGCGATATGGGAGAAAAATCTGCTGCTGGTGTTGAACCACAACCAGGAGGCATCAGCAGGAAAACACAGCTTCATGATGGGACTGAATCACCTGGCTGACATGGTAGGACTGCTCATCACTGAGTTTATTGAATTCATCTGAGAAACTGAAGGGGAAACAACTAAAGACTTACAGATATTCTGTTTTATTTAAAAGATGTTTCATCTCTGTGAGTCACTAACAGATACCACAGTACATAATTATCAGATAAACTTGATTCATCTGCAGGAAAAGGATTCCAGTTTTTGTTCATGATGCATTTTTAGATTTCCCATTTGGGGAAAATAGATATTCTTTGTAAATATTCTTTATCTTGAAAAAAATGGAAGAAAACAACAACAAAAAAGCAAGAATACACACACATATATATATATATATTTATTTATATGTATTTATTTATATACATACATACATACACTGCAACCAATATTTGATAGAAAATATAATTTTATACTATATTTCCCTAAATCATCTAATATCTTGAATGTTTTATTATTTAAGTATATTCTTCATCTTCCATATAACTATTTAAAATATATTTTGTACCTTTTTCATTTTTAATTCAACTGAAACGCATCAAAATCAAATTTGCTTGACCCCTKTTTTTAATAGCATCAATTAAAAAATATTAAATTAAAGACAAGTTGTTACAACCTTCTCAAATAACTCATGGCACTTATTGTAACATAAAATCAAACAGTTAACCATTTCAGTTGATGCCAGTGGAAACTGAGTTTATTTTACAAAACAAACAAAAATAAAACCCAAAAACACAAATACAGGGGNCACAGACAAGATCACTGCAGATCAAGGCCCAGTCAAAAGGGGCTTGACATCTCCAAGATGAAGCTCTTTATGGGTTGGTAAACGAGCAGCAACACATTTCACCTGTGGCAGCCAGGTAGTCCTGAGACACAGGAGAAAACCCACGAAGTGAGCCACTAGAGGTCAGTGACCGTAACACAAGTTATTATCAAGTTGAAGACATTTTGCTGAGTACAGAATTAAAGTAGGTTTGCTGGCACTGATCAGTCATTAATGTGAAAATAGTTTGTTTTATTCCTTTGTATGCTTGTGTTTGACAAATGTAGCTGACCAACAATGCTAATCTCTCCACGATATGATCTTAATTTAAGCTCTTTTCTATGAAACAACCCTAATCTCCCTTCATACAAACTGATAAATTTAATCCAGTCTGCAGGACTCAAATATCACTCTTTTTTATGAGCTGCTGCATAATAAAACTACTACTTTGTACATGTATTTACAATAAATAAGAATTAAAATGGCTTAAATGTTAAGTTCTCTAAGAATGTCGAGAGTAGTTTAGAAAATTTTTAAATGTTTATGCAGTTTTGAATTAATTTTGATAAAGCTTTTAATTGGTTTGGTGCATTTTTAATCTATGACACGTGAAATCAACAGGATTTACCAAATAAGKGTGACAAATATGACAATACACATTAAAAGGAGGTATTATGTATTTTCCTGGCACATACTTCAATTTTATTCCACTATCAAGTAYGTTATCTTCAGTTGTTATGAAAATGCTGTATATATCAAAAACTGATATACAGTAAATGTGATATATCTTAAATCTATCTAAATGCSTTGAAACTGGCCTCTGCCTCTTTAAGARCTTCCTACCATTTCTGACACTCCCACTTCAGCACATCTTCACAACAATGCTTCGGGGGAGGGGTGATTTGTGGGGTAGGAGCTAAGCTGCAGACTGAGCTCCAGGGMGGAGCTTTGTGTAAATAGGCGGAGCWTTGTACCAGCAAACGTTGAGGCAGCTCCACACAGGAGATTTGAGGATTTCTTAAACATGCATGTACAAGTCAAAGCAATACTCTGGACACGTTTTTGATGAGGAAACGGTTTTTAAACATGACATAATGCTCAAAAAAGACAATGTTGCGTAACACCCCCCGCCCCAATAAAAACATGTTGAGATGCATTAAAACAGGTCTGAGATTTAAAAAAAAGCTTACATGATGTACTCTATTTTTTGCACAAACGTTTAGTGAAGAAAAATAAAAAGAAGGGAATAAAATAGAAGGGAATTTGAAGAGGACGGTGTTTATTTTCTTGGTGAAGACTACAGTAAGCCGGAGCAGAAAAGCCTGGATGAACGTGTTGACTCCCTGCAGGAATCTGGCAGAAATGTTTGGAAAGCTCACAAGCTTTTGGCTCCCTGACAGAGRGAGGGACGGTGCATTACAGTCGCTTTGGAAACGAAACATCACTCTTCAGGAATATGAGTACAATCAAAGGAACAGGGCAGCAGCTGCAATATAAAGCCAAACTGTGGCTTTTCATTTAACAGTATGAAGGTTTTACTCATGAGAGGCACATGTTGAAAAGACTTCAAGGTCGCAGTAGACCCCATGTAGTTCTTTTAAAATAATATTTCCTGTTGGTTTATTTATTTATTTACTTATTTATTTATTTATTTATTTATTTATTTATTTATTTATTTTGCACAGATCTATTATTCATCAGGGCTTTTAAATGTTTCATTTGTGCTTTTTGTCTTTGCTTTCTTTAAGACAACTGAGGAGATCAATGAGAGATTAAACGGTTTGAAGCTGGAAGAGCTTCCTAATCTGAGAAACAACACTTTTAAAAACAAAACTGGACCATCAGTACCAGTGAGTGTGGACTGGAGGACAAAGGGTCTGGTTGGGCCTGTCAGAAACCAGGTGGGAAATCATAAAACATAATCTAATAACAACAGATCAGGGTGAATTAAACTCAGCACAAAGAAGTAAGGTCATTTGTGTTTGGCAGATTATTTCTTTGTTGTAACAATGCACCGGAAAGCCTGTTAATTCCCCTTTTATATGGAGCCACATTTGTGAGGAACATGCATTTGTGGGATTTTAGGGGTTGTGCGGCTCATGCTGGGCCTTCAGCTCTCTGGGAGCCCTCGAGGGCCAGATGAAGAAGAAGACGGGCGTCCTCRTCACGCTGAGTCCACAGAACCTGGTGGACTGCAGCACCGAAGACGGAAACTTCGGCTGCAACGGAGGCTTCGTCACAAAGTCCTTCCGCTACATCATCCGGAACGGAGGCGTCGACTCAGAGAGCTTCTATCCCTACGAACACCAGGTCATCTTCAGATCAATGGCACCAACACGCCACTTTGACTGACCATGAATGTGACAGCTCTCATATCTTGTTTTTTTGGTTTGTAGGATGGGAAATGTCGGTATTCTGTCCAAGGCACGACTGCTTCTTGCTCCAACTTCCACATCCTTCCACCGGGAGATGAGATGGCTCTGCAGGCTGCGGTGGCATCAGTTGGACCCATCGCTGTGGCTGTGAATGCCATGCTGTCGTCTTTCCATTTGTACAAAGGAGGTGAGACAAATGATTTGTATAGCATTTGCATTACTACGGTCGTACTGCGAGCTTTGCCTCAGTTACTGTTGGTAAATGATGCATCTTGCAGGTTTATACAACGTGCCCGACTGCAACCCCACACTAATAAACCATGCCGTCCTGCTGGTGGGCTACGGCACAGATGGAGGCCAGGATTACTGGCTGGTGAAAAACAGGTGATTTTYAATTTCTTGTTCTAAAAAGTGAAAACCTGCAAATCTTGTCAGTTTCATTTAAAAATGTGTTTTTATGGTTTCAGTTGGGGAACTGATTGGGGAGAAGGAGGCTTCATCCGGATCGCGAGAAACAAAAAAAACCTCTGTGGCATCGCAACGTCAGGAGTCTACCCTGAAGTTTAACTGTCATTTACTTTAGTTTTTAAAAATATTATTAGTGTTTTTTTTATCACATGGTGCAAGCAGTGCAGAGCCTGGTGAACTGAAGAAAATCTCTTTAGATTTTAAATAATATAATTTTCTAAACCATAGATTTATTGCGTTTTAAGAAAAATGGAGTCTGAGAAGCACAGTTTTTCACCAGATGCTGTGGTTCTGATCTGTTAAAAAGTGTTTTATACTTTATATAAATATTCTCAGTCTCTGCTTCTTATCAGTTTATTTGCTAAATGATGTAAAAGTGTGTAACTTATTGAAATGTCAAATCATCAGCTCCAACAATCCTGTAACTATGTTCCAACCAGCCGACTGTAGCTGTCTGGGTGGATAAAAAAGGTTTAGATACACAAAMTCTGCCTCAAAATCTGTCAAAACCAGACAAATTCTTCCTCATTCCTCATCAGATAAAGTAAAATAGAGTAACTTGAAATTRAAAAATAAATATTGTTGTGGGAAAGTTTCAAACCTCCCCTACAGTTTTTATATTTTAATTTCATGTTTGTGAAACCTTTCGGGATTCAACTAAGCTGCTAAAAATGATGTTATGTCAAAGACCATGTGCTTTGGTTTAATTATATTCTATTGTTCTTTGTGTTATTTAAATTATCTTTGTATTTAGTTTCTGTTCCTGTGTTCTCTTGGGCCATTTTCTCAGTTTCACCCTCAGCTCGCTCCTCTGTGATTTTTCTGTTAACCACTCTCATCTGTCAGTTGTTTAGTCTTTCTCCAGTTGTTACTCATCTTCTCTCTCCCYCAGTCTGTATTTAACCCATCTCTTGTCACCCTATTCCTCACTGGTTCATTGTATGGATCTCCACCATTGGTCTCTGTCTTTGCGTTCTCCCTGTGCCTGCCCCAAGTCTTGTAAATTTTGCTGCCTTGTCAGCCTGTTTTTTATTTAATAAATGAGTTTTATTTTTGAGTTCCTCGTGTCCACCTGCTCCTGGGTTCATTCACCTCAGATCTCAACATATTAAAGATAAAAAATTAAAAATTAAAAAGTTTGATGTCTGCCTTAATAAATCACAAAAAAAAGTCTTCCTTGGAAGCAAAATATTTTTTAATGAGCAATGGTGGGAAATGTATGGATATAAATTTGAGTAAAATGTGTAAAACATGTAAAATATATTATTAACAATTTTAGCAACTTTTGCACTTTTTGAAACTTGTATGTCTTGTAAGATTTTGCCTTCTTGTATCAAAATTGATGTAAATATGATTAAAATGTTAGAGTGCCGCTTAATAAATTGAAATAAAATTTACTATAAATACAATATATACACAACATTCTTTTTGCTTTATTGAGGTACAAAAAGTACCCAGTTCCTTCTAGTGAGGATAAACTCACATTCTCTGTCTCAGACTTCTGGTGAATTTTGAGTTTTGCTACCATCAAGTGGACAAAAAGACAGATGCAGGTCAAAATAATGATAGGTGTGGGGGGAAAAAACATGCAGCTGAAAAACATACCTGCTAAAAAATCTAAACGGTTGGTTTAATTTCAAATCATGTGCACATGTTGCTTTTTATCTCTTTATCTTGTATTTCTTTATCTGTTGGAATGAACCACATGGAGGACTTGGTGAGTATTTACTAAAGGGGCACATTTCTTCACAGTAATTTATTATGAAGACACATCATGCCTCAACGRGCTAAGCCTTGAAAATACAAATACTTCTTAGCCTTTTTACACCTGGAGCATGCAGTTTAAAGGTACAGTCAGGGAGATGATTTAGTCAGAGACTTCCAGCTTGATTGTAGAGACAATCAACATCTTGCCCACCAAAGTAAAATACCAAACTGGAAATATGTGGGCTGCGGGTCCAAAAACGTGCCACTTCTCTGGTGCAGCTGCTGGGATTTGGACCAGCTTGTGGCAACTTGCTGCTGTTGGGGACGGATACAGTTAATAGCTAAAACTGAAGTAATCCAGTTACAGACATATTAGAGCCTTTTTGTCTTCCAGTGAAAAAGTGTTGCAAATGTCTTATTACAATGGGCAATCTAAAGCACAAACGTGTTTTTATTGTCAAAAAATTAGGATGGTGTAAATGTTAGCTGCTTCTCATGGGGAGAAACTCACAGCACCATTTCCTGGCCTGAAGCCTTTCTGTGTGGAGTTTACATTTCCCCCTTGTGCAGGTGTGGGTTTTCTCCAGGTACTCTGGTTTCCACAGACCACAACATGCATGAGCTTAAATGAATAGTCTTACTTGTCTGGCATGATGAATGATTAGTGTCCTCTATGGTCCTAGACCATTTCAACACTTTCAGTACCTTGGACAGTTCCTTTAGCCCTTCACACTGTCTAAAGTCCTGAAACATTTCAGCACGTTCAGGACCTTGGACAGTTCCTTCAGTCCTTCACACCGTCTAAAGWCCTGAAACATTTCAGCACGTTCAGTACCTTGGACAGTTCCTTCAGTCCTTCAGTTCCTTCAGCCCTTCATCCTGTCTAAAGCAGTTATTCCCAACCAGTAGTACATGAGCGTATTACAGGGGGTATGTGGAAAATTTTTGCCAGGTGTGTACAAAAAATAAAAATAGGACTGAGATATGTAGGGCCCTATGATTTCCACAATGCAGAAATTGCAGTCAGAATCACAGAATTAACACAAAATGGAATCCAGTATAAAACGTGAAATCACACAGAATTTGCCCAATTTGGTGAGTTTATGATGTATTTTGGACAATACATTGTATTTTGGACGCTGCTGTTTTCTGCACCTGTCGCTACCTGGTTTATTTATTTAATTACTTATTCACTTTCAAGGCAACATTTTTTTCTTTGTTTAATTTGAGTTGAAAAAATGAAAATGCCGGAGAATTAAACATTCAAGTGTGTTAAATAAATAATTTTCATATAATAATCAGTTTACTGAAGGGGTACTTCAGTAGGTCAGTGGTATGACAAAATGGCTCAGTGGGTACACAAGTCTAAAAAGGTTGGGAACCACTGCTCTATGTCCCTCTGACGGACTTGTGACCTGTCCAGAATAAACCCCGCCCCTCACACAGTGACTGAAGCAGGTAAGAAAAATGGATAAATCGATTGATGGAACATTATTTTAGAAATACATAAGAATGTACATATTTTTTATTTTAGTGTAATGCAATCCATGACATAGGTTTTGGGGTTTTTTTGTTTGTTTTCTCCAAGTTTTATTTCCATAACAGTTTTATAATTGTCTTCATAGAACTGGATAAGTGGCACAAAAGTGCAAATCCCAGCATGATGAACAACTCTCACAGAAAATACATACAGCACCTTTTCAGCATCACTAAAATATTCTCAATATCCAGAATAATAAATACTAAATTTACCAAGATTTTCAGTCTTCATTTACAAAACACAAAGACAACACACAATAGATTTGTTTTATCATACAGAACTTTGTTTTTTTTTTTCTTATTCTTTTTTTTACCTTGATCCTTTTGTTTCCACAAATTTTGTACTTTCACATACAAACATTTACAGTTTCCACAAACAGTACACTTAATTTTAAAGTGACCTTACATTTAGAGTAGAATCTTTAATCAGGTAATAAACAGATTWWAAAAAACACACACACAAATGAAAAAACCTTTTCTGTCCTKACTACAGTGAAGGAGGTGCAGTTCTCTGCAGATGGATGATTTCTGGGATGTGTTGATTTTTTTAAGGGTTCGTTCAGATTTTATTTGTTCGTAGACAGAAATCATGCCATGAAAAAAAACCTTCAACAGATCATCGTAATGGGACTATTCCCATATGCTGTTACAGATAAAACTCCAACCTGCAAGCTTTTTGATTCTCCAGAAAGTTTTTCTAGACATAACAATAAATAATATTTCACAATTTAGATGCACTTTAATTCAAACAAGGGTGCTTTTTAGTGAAACCCTTTGGAGCTCCAAATTCCTCAGCCTTGTGGAGAATCCCCACTTTATTGCTTGCTCATTTTTTTCTCTTTACAACAACAAACAAGCAACTAATTTGACCTTTTTGTACATTATTTCTGCACACTTTTAGCTCCCATCACTATTGCCTTACCCCGGCCTCCTAAAAGCTACAAGCTAAAGTTAGCTTCAAACATCCTCGTCAGATATTCAGTTATATATATTTCTATACTTTATATATTTATATATTTATATATCTACGGTATGTGTGTGTGTTTATAAAAGTAATCTGGATCCAAGGCAAACAAGGAGCACAGTCACTAACTCTAACTTTCAGAACACATACTCAAGTTTCACCAAGTTTAACCCCACTTTGTTAAAAAATAAAAATAAAAAACAACTGCAAGCAACAAAATGATGTCATCAACAATGAAAACACGAGTTCTTGCTTCAGACAGAAACAGCCATACAAGAATTAAGACGGTACGACACAAACATGCGTCAACATCAGCTGAATACGAAGGTTTGGTGGCAAAGTCCTTTTTTTTTTTTTTTTTTTTTTTTTTGGATTTAGGGCTTTTTTTCCTCCCCGTTTTCAAACAAAGGAGGAAATATTTGATGAACAGCAAAGGATCACTCAAGTATTTTTTTTCTTTTCTTTTTCTTAAGTTAAACCAAACTAAATTTACACTGCATATGCCTCAGGTTTGGTTTTCCTTTTGCATGTTTTCATCCCACAGATAAAAACAGTGCAAACCTAAAAAAAAAAAAAAAGGGGGGGGGAGAATAAAAATTGCGACAGTTTTGTCAGCTCAGACAGATGAACTCACTCAGTCGTTCCAACCAGCTGGACTCAAACAATTACAGTAAAACTCAGATTTACATCACAAGTTTAATGAAAAGATGGTTTATGTTGGAGAAAAAGTTCAGATAACAAACTTTTCTCCTCCTCACATCTAAGTTTTCTGGTGAGTTGTTTAAAAAATGTAAACATCTTTATTTATTAAGGACCTTAGGAGTCAAATAAATGCCATAAAAACAATAAATATGCAAAAATCTGTAAAAATGTAGGTAGAAATGTTAAGAA